TTGTGGAAACAATTACAACTTGAATCTATTTTAAAGTCATAGTTGGTAGGACTGACTGACATGTAGGATAGGAGGGGAAGCTAAAAGTCAAGAAAGGTGCTGAGAATGTGACCAACCTCATAGATAATTTCATAAGGAAAACAAGAGATGGAATGATAAACCATAAATAATAAACCAGGTCTAGGGGGACACAAGGAAAAGATGGGAGTTGTTTTAATGGAGATAAAGGGGTAAAAACCATCAGAAACATTGGAAAGATGTTTTCAAAAACAATTAAAGAAAGAAGCTGAGAAGGAAGACTGTGACCAAAGTGTCACAGCCCAAATCTGAAGGGTCAAAGTGGAAAGAATTAATGCAAGTCCCAGCCCAGAGCATAGAGCTCCTCAGAGGACTGGTTGCTCCTCGGGGATTCTCAAACTTATAGGAGGAAATTTGCTATTCTTCTGATTATTCACTGAAAAAGAGCCAAAGAAACCCAATTCCTGTTATCAGGTCCTGATCTTCACCCCATTCTAGAAGAGCCCCCAAAACAACGTAATCTATAACTAATTTTTTTTTTCCTGGCATAAGCAATCAATACTGTTAACTATTTTTCTCTCTTCCATTTCTCACACGGCAATATTCAAGACCAAGAATTCATTATGCACCAGTGCCTGCTAATGCATACATGTAATCCAGGCAACTGGCAAGGCTAAGGTAGAAAGATCTCATATTCTAGGGCCAGCCTGAACCACTTAGGACTGGTCTCAAAATAAAGAAAATAAATATAAAGGGTTGGAGGTGTATCTCAGGAGTAGAGTGCTCATAGGTCCAATCCCCAGTGCAGAAAATATAACAACAACAACAACAACAAAATTTGGTAGGCAACTAAACATAGCATTTTGGTATAGTTTGATTAATGGATTGATTGACTAATAGGGAGGCAGAAATAATTCTGCATATCTATGGCTTAAAAAGTGTTATTTTTCTCAATCTGCTATTTTAATTGGTTATTTAGTGTCAAAGAACTAGTTCGAGGTATTTTATTTTAGTCCTTGTGTGAATCACACTTTCAGGGTACTTTATAGATACAGTCTTGGTAAGATGTGGAAAGCTGAATAGATCTTGATTTTTCATTTAAAGATTTCCATGTCAAAAGTATGTCAGTTTGAATACTGAATGACAAGGACACTGAGACAGCAGCCTACTCTGGCTTCCACCCATCATATCCAAAGTAATACTGAACTATTCAAAAAAATTCAAAACAACCACAATAAAGAACGGATAAAATACTTTAGGTCATGTTTTCAACTTCTAGGAAAGAAAAATATGCTAAATCCACATACACACACACACACACACACACACACACATACACACACATAGGCACACACATACTCTTTCTAACAAGCAGATAAAACAACTTTAAAAGGAACTCCAAGCTTAAATGCTCTTGGGAATTTCAGCAAAGAAAGAATCTGTTTTCATCTCCAAACTTTGTCAGATTCACCAAGGGTGGGAGTTGACCCCAGGCATGGACTCTGAGATGTAGTTCAGTCCTGTTTATTAAATTTTGTTGTCTCTGTCTGGCTCTTTCACTCCTGAGTTATTCTGCAAACCCTGCTTTATCATTTCAGGTTACTATTACTGCATAGAATAACTAGTGAGGAATAGATAGTGAGAAACCATTAAATTCTGCCATTACAAAAAGAAGGAAAATGTCTTCAAAGACCAGAGATTGGTGGTAAAAGTTAATATTTTTGATCACTTATTACATGTTAGGCTTGGTTCTAGGTGCTTGACATACATTGTCACTTAATCCTAACAACATAATCAGGTAAGTATTGTTATTATCCATTTTAAAGATTAAAACTTGAGGGAGAGCATATGTAAATCACTTCCTCATAGGCTCATGTGTAGAATAGGGTAGACTCCTCCACACTTCACTCTAATTTAAGAAGCCATTAACCTAACTTCGATGTTTGAAGAATTATTTCTTAAAGTTCCAAAGTCTATAGTTATTTATGCAAGAATTAATGACAAAGCTACTCATTGTAAGTCTTAGTGTCAGAATCACACTCAGTCACCGGGGAGCTTATCAATACATAAGAGGCATTGGCTCTGCCATCATGGAATTCATAATGTAGATTTGGAAGCACAGGAGGTAAGTGGTTAAGAATGTAGACTTCGATGTAATGCCATGCATGCCTTTGAACTCATGGATCTATTACCGTGGAGCTACATCCAGGCCATTAATTCTTATTAAGCCCAAATTTTTCTTACTTAAACAGGATTTAGCAATATGGATCCTAAACTGTTATCAGAAGAATTAAATGAGATTACGTATACAGAACCATTTGCATAATGTTTAGCTACTGTAGCTATTATTATTGCCAATGTTGTATATTCACACTTCTAAAAACATAAGCAACAGTACAGGGCATTCTGTGATAAGTTCTAAGCTACTGGTACATACAGTCTACATTCCAGGAAGCCAAGCTCTAATCCTCTCCTTCCACAAAGTTTTCCCTGAGGGAGTACATGGTCCAATTTTAAGAAATGCTTGTAAGGGATGAATGGATTGAACACTCCCCATCTGAAATGATTTTTCCCACCTCTGAGCTTGTATCTATTTAATGCTCATACTGTCTTATTCTTTAGCCCGTAGAGTTACATTGTGTAGGTAACTTACCTTGGGTGTGTATTTTCACTTCTTAAAACTGGTTAACTGTTCACCCTTTTAGATCCTGTATCTCAAATAATTAACTAGATCCTAAAAGAAGGGGCTGCCTAATAATGTTCATATTTACATATTTTATAATGTCATGCAAATGGCATTGCCCATTATAGGTATTAAAATATATTTGTTACTTTTGATTCTTTTGAATTATTTTTCCTGAATTTAATTTCATAATAGATGTAGGAGAATTTTCATAGGCAGATGATGCCTTCTATTCTTCTTTAAATATAATTACATAATTCCGACATATTTTTCTCACTGGAGATTTAGATAGAGAGAATTATTCTAGATTCAAACTAGCTAGCCTTTAGAAGAAAAATGTTCTATTTGAGATATGACTACTTACTACCAAAAAGGGGGAAAAACTCAGAAATAAAATCTGGCAGTCAAAAATCTTTAATCTTGTCCAAAGTAGTCTAAATTGTTGTAAAGAATGATAATTTTGAAAATTTTTAAAAAACTTCTCATACACAGTAATTGCTAGAAATAAGTATCACAAGCTTTATTCACCATTTTGACTTTACAATTTTTCCATTAAACACACACACACACACACACACACACACACACACACAACCTGTGCATATAGTAAATGTTAAAGTATTAAGGGTCTTTGTACATAGGAAGAAAAATAGAGAAAGAAATTATGTAACAAATAACAGTGCAGATGATTCTTCTCTATCAATTAAATTCAACTGAGCTGGGCTTTATGTGGTTGTGTTTATTACTGGCATGATTTTGGTATTGGCAATCATTTAATAAATATTCCCCATGTCAATATCTATAATAATGCTATCATCTCGAGGTGGAAGGGAGCAGAGAGTGGATGCAGGAGAGATGGCAGTTGGACATGGCATCCGTGTTTTTAGTCGAATTGTGGAGGTCACTCATGGGAAGGACAGTACCTCGGATGTTTATGATGGGTAGAGATACTGTGCTGGTGGGGATTCTCAGTGGTTTGCTGGGAATATCTTACAATAGCTAAGACATGAACTGAAATTCATTTGAGTAACTCGTCAGTTCATTTGACTAATTGTTTTACTTGATTTGTCAAAAGAAACTGAAATCAAACAGCTCAAACCAAAAAGATTGCTCCATTTCCTATATGGTCTACAAACAGGGCTTTTACCATTTATTTGCCATTAAAAGAGTCTACAACAAATTGAATGGAAGGGAAATTTTAATTCTTTACTCAATTTATCCAAACTACATAGACACTTAGCTTTTTAGAGTAATAGTTTCTTAGTCTATTTCATTAATTCCAAAGGGTGCTGAACTGTTTCAGGATGAACCTGGGGAGAAGTTGTGCTGCTTGGGGGATTTCCTCAAGTCCCACTGGGGACTGATGATATCGTGATATCCACATAGCCATGTAATTGTGGAAGCTCTGTGGCATGTGTTCTGTTGGATTTGCTACACACTCATTGTAGGGAGGCTTTAGACACCATTCCCCCCTCAAGAACTCTAGTTTTGAAAGAGAACAAACTGATAAATATAGAACACACACACACACACACACACACAAATACCTTATTCAGAATTATTTTGTATTCTTTAATGAGCACTTACTTGGCAAATCCCCAGACATTCACTTGCTCTAGGAATAAACTCCTAGGCTTCCTTTTAAGCCAGGCAAGCTTAGCAGAATGCCAAAGGCCCTTCTGTTGGATAGTACTGAAGCTGGGATTTGGATCTTACTGTGACCCATTTTCTTTCTATGATGAGATGCTCTTTCTGACTCTCAGGATAAATTAAACCAAGAAGGTTAAAATGTGGCCAAATGGTGAATTTTAAAAAATTAATTAATTAATTAAAAAAAACAAACTTGCTTACATTCTGTTACAGGACAAGTGAGTATGTCATTGGAGGTTGATATTCTTTCAAAAATGCTAAGACAAAGGCTTAGATGTTGAATGCTAGGGGTCTTTAGGACAGAAGGACTCTACAGTAGGTCAGCATGCCAGGAAATATAATTATTTCACTACTTCTCCCTTCTTTCTGCATCTATTAACACTGTAGAATTTATTGTAGATACCATAAGTACTTTGCCGTCAAGTAGATTACCTGTGGAAAAAGACAGATGTGAACATAAATTAGGATGAAGGCAGTCAATGGGAATTTGGAAACTGGAATCAGCATTTTATCCTTTCTCCATTGAGATCACATAAAAATGAGTAAGCACATCCTGCTTCCCCTTTTCTCTGCATGCTGTCTTGGCAACATAAATACTAATTGGTTGCTATGGTGATCTCAAGTTTGTATCTAAAACTGAGATATCTAGGTAACCAGATCTGCAGGTGAGAAGATGGATGCTTCAACTCTGGAGTTTTGTAAGGAGATGGTCCCGGAGTATGAAAACTGGCAAATGTAGCCTCAGCTCCAAGAGATTGGTAAATTTGTTAATTTTATCCTTGTCATTTCTGACTAGATCAATTCATCTACCTACACAGGCTGGAGTGCCTTCATATAAGTTTGGTCTCTGAAGTTGACAACTTCCATAAACTTGCAGTCAATGAGAAATACCAGTTATGGGCAGAATTTAGCACTTAATACACTTTTTATTTTATTGCTGAAAAGGGTTCAGCCGCAGTGAGATGATTTAAGCCATCAATGAGATGCAGTGGAAACAGCCTAGTAAAATCAGAGTCAGTCAGTGCCTCTCTTCTCCATGACTCACAGGTTTATTAAGAAATCTCATTCTTTAGGGCCTAAAGGATGAGCAACACTCCTCCAAGTCAAGACCCTTGTGCGTTAATCGGTGACTGCCACCAATCAGCCATGTAGCACGTCAGGACACCTTTACAGGTGTCCATTTCCTCTTTCATAAAGGGAATGAGAACTGGGCCTCCCTCAGAGGGCTGTTATGGGGATTAAGGATTGAATTATTCTAAAGTACTTTGCAAATACATGTGTTATATAAATGCTAAATACTAACCTATGGCTTTGATTTCATTAGCTGTTCACATTTGGAAGTTATAAGAATTCAACAGTATGATGTTCAGCAGAGAACACTTCTCTATCAATAAAAAAAAGAATAAATAAATAAAAATATATATGCATAGGCATAGGTATATTTATATATGTATATAGACTAGCATATAGGATTTTCTATGTTTGCTCATTATTTTGTGATCATCAGGATGTTGAGTAAGAATTTTTCTATCATCTTAGAATTGGCAAGTGGCCTTAAGAGGAGAGACAAACTCATAATGTAATAATTAGGAGAGAGATTACCTTTCCAAGATTTATTTAGAAGCCGGAGACCAACGTCAGCCCATCTCCTTTCACACCCCTCCTCTCTCCTCCTTCAGCTTACATGAAGTAGAGAGTGAGTTCATGGAGATTGTCTAGAAGGAGCAGGGAGAAGCCTGACTCAATTCTTTAAGTCAAGGAAGTGGGGAGGACAGACATTTCTCCCCACCGTGACTGGACATTTTGCAAGGATTAGGAAGGAATCATGGGGGCTGGGGATACAGCTCAGTTGGTAAAGTGCTTGCCTCACAGGCACAAGGCCCTGGATTCAAACCCCAACACCACACACACACACACACACACACACACACACACACACACACACACACAAACACACTCAGAGAGAAATCATGGACTGTCAGATAAAGTAGGAAGAGTTGGCTTCTTTTCCTTTTTTCTTTGTTGAATATATGTGTATGCAGAGTTTTTGCAGCTTAACTGAGAAGATAGATTTATAAAGAGAGGAGATAAGGAGCCTCAGTGAACAGGTAAATGTCCAGATGCTTGGCTTGGCAAAGTTATTTGTGTGTTTCTTTGCTAAAAGAGCATATGAAAGGTAGCTAGGTTTGAGCCATCTTGCCAGTACCCAACCCTAAAACATTGGTCACTGGTCAAGGACATTTCAGGAGTAAGAATCTGTGGAGTAGATTACAAGGCCTGCAGCACAGGAGGGCAGGGGTTACACCAGATCACCCACAGCAGCAATGCAGAGTGAGATGTCCAGCCACTTCCCCAAAGAACTCACAATAAAATCACAGGATAGAAGGAACATTTGTATGCCTGATGGAACAAGGCATCAGTGGAGTGATTCTTTTCCTTTTCTGCTTCTCCTTTCCCTCTTGTTTACAGGTAAGACCCAGAGACCAAGAAGAAGGCGTGGAGGTTGATACTATTAGACCCAGATTTTCTATGTTCTCAGTCTTTGGGGCTCAAGCCCATCTGCCTCAGGAGAGCAGAAGAAAAGGAGCATTCAGTCTGACATGAGACCAAGATTTTAAATGGAATGGAAATGGACATTTTAGAACTTAGATGCTGAGAAGACAACAAGATCTACCAGAAACATCAAGAGAATGAAAGGGAGATTAAGCCATGTCCCTGTGAAGACAGTGACGGAGAAAAAAATGAACCTAGATTCTGATCACTTAATAAAACAGGAACATAAGTAAAGATAACAGAAAGAGTTTAGATTCGTCTCCACACAGCTTGGCCAAAGTAATTTCTGTTTGCTGTACAACTCAGTTCTCTTGTTAAAAAACAAAAAATGTACATCATGCACCACAAAAAGCAAGCACTCTCCCTGACCCTTTGTAATTTTTAGGCCTTATATGTGTGTACTCATCTCCTAAAACAAAAGGGATAGAAAAACAAACAACAAATATTTTTTTTTTTTAAAAAAACTGTTAAAAAGGAAAAATTCAAATAAAAGTATAGTCACGTTTTCAAAATCAAAATGCTCACTATGGAACCCAGGAAACAAACCTGCTTACATAGACTAAAAAATAACATATCTATTACTTGAGTTTATTTGGCAAAATAAGGATAGCAAAATGATGTCACTGTAAAGTTAGAGTTAAATATGAGATGAAATAGAATTTTGAAACACCAGAGAGTCCAGTCAGGAGGCACCTATCAGTATTCAGTAAATTCATTATTTAATATTTCAATTCTTATTACAATGAAATGAATAGTTTGAACATGATTCTTACCGATTATTTAAACTGCCACTATCATCTCTTAGTATTTACTTAGCTTGATAATCTTCGTTATGTCACTGAAATAAAATGGCCAGTGATCTGTATGTTAAAAAACAAAGTTCAAGTGATAATGACTGCTTAGCATGCAGCCAGTGCAACAGTAAAACCTTTGCATAAGTTGTGTTATTAATGCATAAAAAAAGCACACCAGACGGGTGCTATTATTCTTACATTGCAGAAGAGAAAACTGATGATTTGAAATTCAAGTGACTGGCCCAAAACACAGAGAAAACCTACTTGTTTTGTTGTCTAATTGAGTAGGCCTATTCTTTTAATCCCATTGTTTAAGAACAAGTCATTAAAATGAAGGCATCTGGTTTGCTTTTTCCTAAGGTGTGTGCCTTTGGATATTCTTCACAATGTATTTCTCATCTCCCTTCCTAACCCTGAGGCAGGTGAGGTCATGGAGTAAAATCAAAATCATACATCAAGTCAGATCAGGGCCACTATAAATTTGTGATCACACAACCTCGACCAGGCCCTGCTGCCAAAAGACCTACTGCAACATGTAAAAATAATTTTAGGTTGAGTACAAGTGTAACATGCATGTAATACTAGCAACCCTGAAGACTGAGGCAGTAGAATCACAAGTTTGAAGCCAGCCTCAGCAACTTAGCAAGACCTCATCTCAAAATAAAAAGGACTGTGTATGGAACTCAATGCTAAAGTATCCTGGGTTCAATCCCTAGTATCTTCCCACCAGAATTAAATAAATAAATGAAATTTTAAGTCTTAAGAATACACTTTTTAAAAAAAACTTATATGTGACTTTTAAAATTCTTTGAATCTTTTTCTTTCCTAAGTCCTAAGACGATCTAACCTCTGTGATTGACAAAACGGGAGGCCACTCCAAGTGTTATTCTCTCTTTGGATCAGTATTAAGAATATTGTGCAGGATCATTCTGGAGAGATGAATGCAAAACTCTGGGGAAACACTATGCAGCATCCTCCTTCTGAGGTTGGGGCCATTCTGCTCTTTTGTATGCCACGAAATGCATGTGGATTAAATGAATTAACATGGTAGCTTTTATATATTATGAATGTCAATATATAGAATGTTAATTTGATTTTTTTCCTACGTTTTTTTTTTGACACCTGAGGTTGAACCCAGAAGCACTTTATCTTTATCACTGAGCCACATCCCCTGCCCATTCTTAATTTTTTTTTTTTTTTAATTTTGAGACAAGATCTTGCTAAGTTGCTGAGGCTGACTTTGAACTTGCTATCCTCCTGCCTCAGCTTTCTGAGCTGCTAGGATTACAGGCATGCATCACCATGCCCAGCTTGATTTGGAATGATTTAAAGTTGTGTATGCTAGTTGTGGGACATAGAATAAAAACACATACTCATATTTGGAATATAAACATCTTGATCTCATAAAAAATGAATGCACAATGGTGGTTAACAGAGGTTAAAATGAAAAAGAGAAAGAAAAGAAATGGGAAGAATAGATCAATGGGTACTAAGTTACAGCTAGATGTCAATTAGAAGTCCCCATGTGCCATTGTACTTAGTAACAATAGGTAACAACTAGAGATCATGTACTGCATATTTAAAAAAAAATCAAGAAAGTATTTCAAAAACTTTTATCATGTCTGAAAGGAGAGTTGTGTCCACTCTAAACATTACACAACATATACACATATTAAAACATCAATTGATAACTCCTTGATGGGTACCATTTTTATTTTATATATCAGCTTTAAAAAGTAATAATAAAGGAAGAATGATCATAAACCAAGTGTGCAAGTATAACTAATATTAGGTTCCACAAATGTAAAGATGGTAAGTGCCTATTTAAGGAGAGATGCATTGTGGTAAATGGATGGTGGGGCTGACAATGGAGCTTCATGAGCAAATGACTGTAAGAATAAATACTTTTCACCTAATGATTAATAGAATTAATGTGTTTCAGGGAATCACAGATAATGTAATTTCTTCTTTGTCTTTGTGTGCATGTGTGTGTGTGTGTATGTGAGTGTGTGTGTGTGTAATTTTTGTGTGTATATCCAAAGACATTTTCAAACATGGAAGACCTGTTCCCATGTGTGTCCTTTTTCAGGAATGTGTGCTGTTCCATGGCCCTGAATATAATGTAGGTGGAAGTAAGGAACCATGTGAATGGTGAAGGTAGCCTCTGTTTGAAAAGGACCATTTTTAATAGAATCACCAGGCAGTCAGCTACTAAGGTGCCAACTATGTCAGTTTGGACTCTTACTTCTCTTACTGAAAACTATTTTTTTTCACCTGATTACAAGGTATTTTATTAAAAAATAAAATAACAACATACCACAATTGGAAAATGATCTCAAAAATATTTCTTTACGTTTCTGTGAAATGCAACCCATAAATAATGGAAAAATCCATTGATCTCAAATTTAGGCAAAATAAGGAGGCTGGTTTAATGCAGACCATATCAGAACATTTAAAATGCTAATGAGAATTTGAATCCTCCAGGCAGGATATGATGCTTTCTAATGAGTTTCTTGTTCATTTATTATTCATTCAGCAAATATGTGTCGAGCGCACATTATATGCTAGGTGCAGATCTGGGCATTGAGGACACAGGATGTAGTAGGACACAGGACAGACAACTTCAAAATCCACCCCATTGGTGAGAAATGTGCCCACCTGTGGGGAAGGGACTAGGCAGCTCTTTATCTTTCTGTATTGTTTCAAGCTGAGGAAAATGTTGACTTGAGAAACATCTGTGAGATAAAGAGTGGGATTATCATCAGGGAGCCGGGCACCTGCCTACCTTTCTCCTTTCTGATAATTAACCATCATCTCCGCACTTTCTCATCTTCTTTGTATTGATCTTTCATCATATAATGGCCACAAATAGCAAAAGGAAGGCTTAATAACAAACATTAAAATGAATAAATAATTACAGCCACTAATCTTCCTCAACCAACTGATTATTTGTTCAGTGACACTATTACATAAAACGAGGTTTACATAATTTAAAAGGACATCATCATGCAGTTTTTATGGTCTTTTTTTTTCTACTTGTCCTTGCTTCAGATATCCCTTAAGAAGAAATACAAAGACATAATTATTACTGCTTAGGTAAGGTACAAACAGAGTGGTTCTATATGGACAGGGCATAATTTAAACAAAAAACATATATTAAGTTCAAATCAAGTGCATTTATTATACTTTAACTTTCAGTGTTTTAACTCATTTAATAATGACCATGATTATTAATTCTTACAATTCAGATCTTATGACAAAAATACATTTCTGTCCACATTTGATACTATTATATCTTAAGTCAGGAAATGGAAAATTTTAATACTCATTTCCTATAGGTATGCTTCATCTTTAATGTTGCCTATTTTTTGGTGTTACACAGATAAATTTTTGTATGATGTTCTTGCATTATATTTTAAAGAGTAATCTATAATGATTGTCTTTTAGGAATTGCTTGTGTTCCTTGAAAGAGCCTGAGTGAATGGAAATACAAGCCCATACTCAGCTTGAATTGGCCATGATTGCTAGAACAGGATCACAAAGCAAATGGCCAGTCCAGAGACTACCTTCAAAACACTTGGTAAAGCAAAAAAGTGGAAATCTTATTTTAAAGTAGCCATCCTATGTTCCCAGAATTCACTTTGTACTACACATACAAGGTCTGTGAGAAATGTGTAAAGAATTAATTTTCAATATTATAATCAACACACACATTGAGTACCTACTATGCACCAGGTATTTCTTGTTCCATGTGGATCCTTCTCTGTGCCCTAGCTCTGCCAATTTCCTCTCTTCATTTGCAGACAGCTGACTTTGGTTTTCTTTTCTTTTTTTTTTAAGGGAAGAAAGAGAAGAGAAAGAGAGAGAAATAAATTTTTAATATTTAGTTTTTAGTTTTCGGTGGACATACATCTTTATTTTAAGATAAAGACATACATCTTTATTTTATTTTTATGTGGTGCTGAGGATCGAACCCAGCGCCCCGCACATGCCACGTGAGCGTGCTATCACTTGAGCCACATCCCCAGCCCTGCCTTTGGCTTTCTATAGCCTGAACTCTAGGGTGATCAGAGGCAGTCCATCTTGCTGCTTTTAACTCCCAACTTACAAGACATTTCAGTTGAGTCCCATAGTTCAGCATTCTGATTTTCCTCACTCTAAATTTCTGCCATGGTAATTTGATTGGAAGAAGTAGTCTTTTTTTTTTTAATCCTGGTCATGACTCTATGTATGACTAGACTATGATATGCTGACCTCTGGACCTGACAAAAAGGAACTAGATAGGAATTCTCCTGCAAAGAGTAGCCATTAACAGGAGTCAGTTAGGGTGTTTGGAATCAAGTACCAGAAAACCCAGTGGAAAATCAGTTCCTCCTTTGGACAGGTAACAAAATGGGTTAATCTCTTCCAGGCTCTACATCTAAAGTCAACAAGGAAGATAAAAGAAGGGTCATCTCC